ACTAGGGTCGCCCCTAGTCCAAAATTGAAAATGTATTTCCTTCTTGGTTCTTTGCTCAAAAAAAATTTAGGATGTTTTATTTGTATTTGTTTTATGCACTAGAATATTTATGCAAAGTTTCAATCCATTTTTATAAAACCTCGAAGAAAAAAGTGAGAAAATTGATATTGACTAGGGTCGCCCCTAGTCCAAAATTGAAAATGTATTTCCTACTTGGGTTTTTGCTCAAAAAAATTTTAGGATATTTTATTTGTATTTGTTTTAAGCATGAGAATATTTATGCAAAGTTTCAATCCATTTGGATAAACCCTCGAAGAATAAAGTGACAAAATTGATTTTGACTAGGGTCGCCCCTAGTCCAAAATTGAAAATGTATTTCCTTCTTGGTTCTTTGCTCAAAAAAATTTTAGGATGTTTTATTTGTATTTGTTTTAAGCACTTGAATATTTATGCAAAGTTACAATCCATTTGGATAAACCCCCGAAGAAAAAAGTGACAAAATTGATTTTGACTAGGGTCGCCCCTAGTCCAAAATTGAAAATGTATTTCCTTCTTGGTTCTTTGCTCAAAAAAATTTTAGGATGTTTTATTTGTATTTGTTTTAAGCACTAGAATATTTATGCAAAGTTTTAATCCATTTTTATAAAACCTCGAAGAAAAAAGTCTCAAAATTGATTTTGACTAGGGTCGCCCCTAGTCCAAAATTTAAAATGTATTTCCTTCTTGGTTCTTTGCTCAAAAAAATTTTAGGATGTTTTATTTGTATTTGTTTTAAGCACTAGAATATTTATGCAAAGTTTCAATCCATTTGGATAAACCCTCGAAGAAAAAAGTCTCAAAATTGATTTTGACTAGGGTCGCCCCTAGTCCAAAATTTAAAATGTATTTCCTTCTTGGTTCTTTGCTCAAAAAAATTTTAGGATGTTTTTTTTGTATTTGTTTTAAGCACTAGAATATTTATGCAAAGTTTCAATCCATTTTTTTAAACCCTCGAAGAAAAAAGTGACAAAATTGATTTTGACTAGGGTCGCCCCTAGTCCAAAATTGAAAATGTATATCCTTCTTGGTTCTTTGCTCAAAAAAATTTTAGGATGTTTTATTTGTATTGTTTTTAAGTACTAGAATATTTATGCAAAGTTTCAATCCATTTGGATAAACCCTCGAAGAAAAAAGTGACAAAATTGATTTTGACTAGGGTCGCCCCTAGTCCAAAATTGAAAATGTATTTCCTTCTTGGTTCTTTGCTCAAAAAAATTTTGGGATGTTTTATTTGTATTTGTTTTAAGCACTAGAATATTTATGCAAAGTTTCAATCCATTTGGATAAACCCTCGAAGAAAAAAGTGACAAAATTGATTTTGACTAGGGTCTCCCCTAGTCCAAAATTGAAAATGTATTTCCTTCTTGGTTCTTTGCTCAAAAAAATTTTGGGATGTTTTATTTGTATTTGTTTTAAGCACTAGAATATTTATGCAAAGTTTCAATCCATTTGGATAAGCCCTCGAAGAAAAAAGTGACAAAATTCTAGGGGGTCGCCCCTAGTCCAAAATTGAAAATGTATTTCCTTCTTGGTTCTTTGCTCAAAAAAATTTTAGGATGTTTTATTTGTATTTGTTTTAAGCACTAGAATATTTATGCAAAGTTTCAATCCATTGGGATAAACCCTCGAAGAAAAAAGTGACAAAATTGATTTTGACTAGGGTCGCCCCTAGTCCAAAATTGAAAATGTATTTCCTTCTTGGTTCTTTGCTCAAAAAAATTTTAAAATGTTTTATTTGTATTTGTTTGTAGCTCTAAAATATTTATGCAAAGTTTCAATCCATTTGGATAAACCCTCGAAGAAAAAAGTGACAAAATTGATTTTGACTAGGGTCGCCCCTAGTCCAAAATTGAAAATGTATTTCCTTCTTGGTTCTTTGCTCAAAAACATTTTAGGATGTTTTATTTGTATTTGTTTTAAGCACTTAAATATTTATGCAAAGTTTCAATCCATTTGGATAAACCCTCGAAGAAAAAAGTGAGAAAATTGATTTTGACTAGGGTCGCCCCTAGTCCAAAATTGAAAATATATTTCCTTCTTGGTTCTTTGCTCAAAAAAATTTTAGGATGTTTTATTTGTATTGTTTTTAAGTACTAGAATATTTATGCAAAGTTTCAATCCATTTGGATAAACCCTCGAAGAAAAAAGTGACAAAATTGATTTTGACTAGGGTCGCCCCTAGTCCAAAATTGAAAATGTATTTCCTTCTTGGTTCTTTGCTCAAAAAAATTTTGGGATGTTTTATTTGTATTTGTTTTAAGCACTAGAATATTTATGCAAAGTTTCAATCCATTTGGATAAACCCTCGAAGAAAAAAGTGACAAAATTGATTTTGACTAGGGTCTCCCCTAGTCCAAAATTGAAAATGTATTTCCTTCTTGGTTCTTTGCTCAAAAAAATTTTAGGATGTTTTATTTGTATTTGTTGAAAGCACTAGAATATTTATGCAAAGTTTTAATCCATTTGGATAAACCCTCGAAGAAAAAAGTGACAAAATTGATTTGGACTAGGGTCACCCCTAGTCCAAAATTGAAATTGATTTCCTACTTGGTTCTTTGCTCAAAAAAATTTTATTTATCCAAAGTTTAATTTAAAAAAAAATCACGATGAACTTCTTATTTGAAAAATTCGTAAGAAAGGAAAGTTTTTTGCTTTTTGTAAAGCAACGGCTGTTCCTATCTTGCCTAAAAACAATTCTATAGAGTAGCACGGATCAAATGTAAAAAACTAGAAGTCTCTACAATGTCTCGTAATTGAGATTTATTGCTGATTAACTTGCTTGCTTGTTTGCTTGCTTACAGAAAGCGTATTTTGCGATTTTCTCAGCAATGCCACAACCAATTTGAAATCTGTTTTTTGCATAAGATGTAAAATTTCAGGCACAAACTTTTCTTCTGTGACCTTTTATAACCAATTTTGCTTTGTTTTCTCACAAAATGCAAAAAACTGATTTTTCAATCTGAACAAAACCAATAGATTCACACGTGAAAACGGTGTGAATATAAAAATAAAATATAAAAGAAAGAAAGTTTATTTTTAACTAGGGATGAGAATGTTTAAGGTTTTCTTTTTGTACTAATTGCCTTTCTTAAACAATACTTGAATGATCAAAAAGTCAATTAATTAAGCAGGGAAAAGCAAAGCATAAGATTTAAGTGTCGAACTGGATTGGATTTAATTAAAAACATCTAACATTGAGAGCTTTCGTCCAAAAACGTATTCTCTTGGTGAATCTTATGAATCCGAATTGACTCATTCGTATAAGCTCTAAAATAGCAATAAAAGAAAAAGGTATCAAGTTAATTTCATTGCATTACTTTAGAAGAAAACGCCTAATACATTATCCTTAATCTTTTCGTACAAAAAGGAAGATTATTACATGCAATCACGAACCTCTCAAATTAATTATCTTCTCCGTCCAATAATATTAGGCGAACAATATCTTTACTTTTTTGGCATTGTCAATGACTTTTTTATGCATCAGTTTTACAACGTTATTATTACAGCTAAAATAAAATATAAAGAAAATAACTTCCTTATCTGTTCGCACGTTTTCAATTATCTTTACTTAGAGTGATTTTTTTTTTCCAAATTAAGAATTCTGAAAAACATATTTAAATGCTAAATTTTAAAAGGAAACAAGAAACTTCAAGATTACAAAACGAAAGAAAATGTTCCTACAAATTGGCTATCGGTTACTAGTCTACTTTATGGCTAAATCCCATACATAAGTTACACTCTTTTCTGTTTCCCTGCACTTGAATCACCTTATTCCAACAACAAAGCAAAAAAGCGTTTTATGATCAAAACTAGCACTAAAGCATGATTGAACCAAGGGATTTCATATAAATGAATACGTAGACGGAATAATAATTATTAAACGAATAGACCAGAATAGACATAGACACATAAAAGCGACATAAATTTTTATCAAAAGAGAACAAAAAAAAACTCCACAAACGAAGTGAAGCAGAAAGCAATTGGGAATTTTCATGACATTTTTCTAAATTTACAATGGCAATCAGTCAAGCGACATGTTGTATCTTTCTGTATCTGCTACCTTACCATCTATCGATGTACAAAAATACATATTCCCTTGTCATTCTGTCTTCTATTTTAAATTACGTTTACGACTTTTTCATCTCCTAATCCCTTAAGAATATTCAATAAAAAGCATTGTCTTACATTACAACATTTCTCACGTTGTTTGTTACCTTAGATAATTGATTTGTCGGCTTCATTATACAGCAAGTTTCAACCATTATTTGTTGGTATTCTTTCCGCGATTTTATTGAAAAAGTTTCTTTTTTTTTGCTCCCTGTACTTTCATCGCTTTTATTCTCTGTACTTTATTCCTTTTAAATGTATCCTTAACTTTTTTGTCTCTATTGCCTCTTGTTTTATTATTGTGCTTTTCATCTTTGTTCCCTCTCAATTTTTCATCCTCTTGGTATCAATGTCTACATCAAGTACCATTAAAAATTTGCTTTTAAAATATGTGTGTCAACAATGAAGTGAGGATGTAGCAAAAAAAAACTCATAAGAAAGCATGAATGATATGGAAAAGAAAAGACACAGCATATGATAAAATGGTTGATATAATGACATGACGGAAAAACGATAATTTTGTAATGATGAAAATTTCTTTGCTATATAGCTCCTTGTGTGCATGAGAATAAAGATGTTGAATAAAGAAGAAATAGTAATCAGCAAATTTATTTCATGCCATCATCATTTAAAGCAGATAGACATGAGCTAAAGTTATAGAGAGAAAGAGGAATACTGAAGCATCATCATGATTATCTTAGATATTATCCCTTTGATAATGTCAGTTGCCTTTTTCAAGCAAACATTTGAAGATAATTTCTTAATTTGTTCTATTTGATTGACATTACCTTATAAATACAATTTAAAGAACTAGTTTCATTTTAAATAATGAAATTTTTATCTCAATAGTCACAGAAAAATGTTTTATCTTATTTTTCATTAAACCTTAATTGAGTTCAGTTTGATTCAAAATTTTTTGTTAAACTTATTTTTCTTAAAAACAATTCTTTTGGCACTTCCAAATTTCACATATTAAAATGGTATTCAGCAATCGTGAAACGGTCTCAATTCACATAGGTCAATCTGGTTGTCAACTTGCAAGCGCAACATGGGAGCTTTATTGTTTGGAACATGGAATCACTTGTGATGGAAAATTAAGCGACAACAAAATTGGCGACGAGGATGATTGTTTCCATACATTTTTCTGCAAATCTCAAACTGGAAAGTTCGTTCCCCGAGGAATTTTAATTGATACAGAGCCAACGGTTAGAGGATAATATTAATTTTTTTCTTTTAATGAGAACCTTTTCATCTAGCAAGTGCTCTTATACACGATTAGGTTATTGATGAAGTTCGTAATGGAATTTATCGAGATCTTTTTCATCCAGATATGTTGATTAATAGCAAAGAAGATTGTGCCAACAATTTCGCTCGGGGATTTTACGCAATTGGAAATGAAATATTACCTTCTGTACTCAATTCCATTCGACGAGTTGCAGAACAAGCTAATAGTTTGCAAGGATTTTTTATTTTTCATTCTTTCGGAGGTGGCACTGGATCTGGCTTTACTGCTCTATTGATGCAAAAATTGAATGATATGTTTGGGAAAAAATCTAAATTGCAATGTTCAATTTATCCATCACCTCAAGTGTGTACTGCTATTGTTGAACCATACAATTCAGTGCTAACTACTCATGAATCGATTGATAATGTTGATTGCGCATTCATATTCGACAATCAAGCAATTTATGATATCTGTAAGAGCAAGTGAGTTGTCTATTCGGAAAAATCAAAATTAATTTTATCATTAATTCCTTAAACTTTTCACCTGTATGTAGATTAACCATAGAGAGTCCAAGTTATTTACATTTGAATCGCCTAATCTCTCAAGTGGTTTCAAGTATTACAGCGTCGTTGCGTTTTAGTGGTGCATTAAACGTTGACATGAATGAATTTCAAACAAATTTGGTGCCTTATCCTCGAATTCATTTTCCATTGGCAAGCTATTCTCCATTTATTCCTATAGTAAAAGCAGTTCATGAGCAAGTAACGGTTAATGATCTCACATCAAACTTATTTACAAATGAAAATCAAATGGTCAAATGTGACATCAAGAATGGAAAGTTTATGGCATGTTGCATTCTTTATCGAGGTGATGTAACTCCAAAAGATGTCAATGTAGCTATATCGGATGTGAAATCTAGAAAAATGCTTCAATTTGTCGATTGGTCACCATGTGGTTTTAAAATTGGAATTAACTATAAACCACCAACTGTTGTAGAAAGTGGTGATTTGGCACGTGTGTCACGAAGTTGCTCTATGCTATCATCAACAACTGCTATTGCACAAGCGTGGGCTACAATTGACCGTAAATTTGATATGATGTTTGCAAAACGTGCATTCGTTCATTGGTATTGTTCGGAAGGCCTCGAAGAAATGCAATTTTATGAAGCAAGAGAAAATTTGGCTGCACTAGAAAAGGATTACGAAGAAGTTGCGACTGATTCCTGTGAATTGACTGAAAGTCAATAATTTGTTTTTATTTCACTAATAAATATAATTTACTTTAAAAACACTTTAATGCTAAATTCATTCAAGGGCTAATCCAAGGAATCAGCCCTGGATATCAAACAGAACCTATTATGTTTAAACAGTTTACAATGAACAAAATTCGAGAATAAATATGATTACGCAGCAACTCAAGATTATTAGATTTCCGTATTAATATGTACTCACAAAAGAATAATTTTAATAATTAGGATAGAAAAAAGCCAATTTACACCCATTTTAAGTATTTAAATTGAACTTTACATGCTTTACTATGATTCTGTGTAATATTTTGTCAGCATGTAGCTATAGTGAGCTCAGAATTTCATCATCGGCTAATTTGAAATTCTGAGCTCAAAAAATCAAAATTTGAGTTAAGCCGAAAAAATTGGCTTCGATCTCTGGTTTTTTCATATCGAAAACCTCGAAACCTTAAAATTCTAATTCAAGTAAATTTAATTTTAAAGATTATTCTATTTTTTTGTTGTGATAAAACCTCATTTTCAGATTTTTGATAGCAAATCATCACGTTCACGAAAAACATGACAGAGGTTGACAGCACATCCTCGGCATATATTTTCATTTCTCTGATTTCTATATAACATGGCCATGAATAAAAATAGAATCAGGGAAGAGGATGAGCAAAAAAAACAAAGACTTCTGATATGAATGCTTTATAGCTTTAATCGATAGACGAATGCCAAAATGAAAATGGTGTTTATACATTTTAATAGAATTTACAGGATAAACCCTAGACAAAATATTAACATATTTATTTAAATATAATTTGCATTATCCAATTGGACAAGCATTTGATGAAACATAAATAATCACATATTTTCCAACTAGACTATTCCATTATATTCAGCTTTACTTTAAGTTATATGATATATTTGTGACCAATAATTTCCCATATACATCATTCGCAAGAGTTCGAAAACATAATAAAATCCATTTTTAAAAGCACTCAAAAACATAAACCTTAACAATCATTTATAAAAGCTTGTGACTTTCTACACTATGCTGGTGCAAAATTCAACAGTTTAAAGACTCTTTTCCCTTTCCTCTCGATTGTCATCAGCAGCATTAACTCACAAAGCATAATCAACAAATGTGTCATGCTGGTGATGTCATATCTGCAGTCTGCTTTAATGCTAAGTATTGTATGCCTCATAACTTAGAGAAGTGAATGAAAAAATATTAATTTAATATATAAAAAATAGAGAAAAGAATAAAACATACGGCAATAGTTGCTCAACACTACTACTAAACCTTTCTCTTAGTTGCAATTTTTCGTATGAGTGCACTCAAAGTTTTCTGGCTTTTATAGTCTTCAATTTTGTGTGTTTTGTAACTCTCTGCATGTGGTTTAAAATCGCATTTTTCATTCCTTCTTTTTCAGTTTTCTGAAATAGGAAAATGGTTTTATTGCATTTCAAGATTTATACCAATTTTTACATGTACAATCTGAACTAAGAGTAGATTGAAATACGCTTGAAAAGCACAAAATTGCTTTAACGATAGTGTAATTATACTGTCCTCATTATTTCATTTTTAAAAGTTCAGAGTCCCTTCAAGCTCTGAATTTCGACGCCACATACACACAAAACTTTAAAATTAACTTCATACAACAGATAAAATTGTATAACACTGCTTTACAATTTTAATTATCTGTTGCCATAAACATAAATTTGCTTTTTGTATGAATGTGGATTACATTCAGATATCCTCTGATATAAGATATTAATTTTAAAACCGAGAAACTAAATCCAAACTTTGAACAAAACTTTACATTGGAAATACTTAAATTACGGAATTTATCATTTCCAAATAAGTTATCTAAAGCCTTAGGAACATTGCTTTGTTAGAAATATTCGAATAAAATAGGTCAAAAACTTATTTGTATGACAAAGAACTTTTCATTTTCTTTCTTATTCCAGATATGCATACCAAGTAAGTGTAAGATATAAATATACATATAGAAGAAAGAGGAAAGGCATTAATATGTGAGGACATAATAAAATCCATAAATACAATGACGATAATTTGTTTAGAGAACCATCGAAGCATGAACATAGCAATTTACATTTTATCACGTAGCTCACATAGACATTCAAATAAGTAATCTTCTCTATATAAATATTGGTCCAGATACCGCATCTGCAAAATTTTTGGATGTGAAGATTTGTTAAAGAGTTTCTTTTTTCTATACTTTGCAATATTTTTTCATTAAGTGAATGACACTAAATTACATTTAACAACTACTTGAGTATAAAAACCGATTAAGGATTTAAGGAGGGATAAATCTTGATTACTATGACATTTTCTTACCCAAAAGGAAGCTCTCAAATAGTCGAGAGAGCTTCAACAACAAAAAAAAATGCATAACACAGTTAAAAGTTCTCACAATTTGAAGTAAGTCATATCATAACTAGTTTTGCAACTTCCGCTTCGCTCCAGTTGCTGCTCCGAAGTCAGTCTCTTATGTAAATCAGACTTCAACATAGGTTACAGTCTTGGATAGTTTTGCAACATGTGTGCTATTGAAATCTGAGATTTTTTTACTCATAAGTATTATAAGATTTTTAAAACGGGTAAAATTTTCACGCCTTCACATCGCTTCGCTCCGTTCAGGACGTAAAAATTTGTGAGCTTCGCTCAACACTCTTCTCCGTTTCGTTCAAATGTTTATAGATTACAGTAGGTATATAAGTTTCAGATCGTACTAGATTTTTAAATATATCGACCAAAAATCCCAAATTAACCATGTCTAGAACTCAAAACCAAGAGTCTGTGAAATTTTAATTGTGTCTACAACGAATTACAATGATCCAGTAAAGTTTTAAGCATATCTGAAACTTGGAACCAAGATCCAGTAACGTTTTAATAATATCTGAAACTTAAAACCAAGATCTAATAAAGTTTTAATCATGTCTGCAACAAATTACAATGATCCAGTAAAGTTTTAAGCATATCAGAAACTTGGAACCAAGATCCAGTAAAGTTTCAATCATGTCTGAAACTTAAAACCAAGATCCAGAAAAGATTTAATCATATCTGAAACAATAAACCAAGATCCAGTTAAGTTTTAATCATGTCTGAAATTTGGAATCAAGATCCAGTAAAGTTTTAATCATGTCTGAAACTTAAAACCAAGATACAGTAAAGTTTTAATCATATCTGCAACAAATTACAATGATCCAGTAAAGTTTTAAGCATGTCTGAAATTTGAAATCATGATCCAGTAAAGTTTTAATCATATCTGAAACTTAAAACCAAGATCCAGTAAAGTTTAATCATGTCTGCAACAAATTATCATGATTCAGTAAAGTTTAAATCATGTCTGAAACTTGAAACCATGATCCAGTAAAATTTGAGGAAAAGTTTTAAGTGGGCTTTGACAATTTCAATTTCAATTTTTTTATAATTAAGAAATAAGAAAAATTTCTTAGTGGGCATTGACAATTTGTTGAAATTGAGAGATCATTGTGAAAAATTGGTTAAATAACTTAATTTGTCATTAAAATTAAAATTGAAATTGAAGTTGTGCTATCGTTGGAACCAAGATCCAGTAAGTATACAGCAAGAAAAAAATCAATGCTGGAACCAAAAACATATTTCCATTATGATACAAGTAAAGTATGCATTCAATAACATAGATCCAGTAAGCTGAATCTTGTGAAGGAACTCGCTAGTTCCAACATTTTTTCACATACTTTCACAAGCATTTTACCACGTTTCTTAATTTATTATTATTACCACGTTTTTCTTAACTTGCTTTCTTATCTGTATATCTGTTTGTCGAGGTCAAATCTTGCGATCAATTTTTCGATCACTTCTACTGCTCCAATCGAGCTGAAATTTTGCACGCACTTATCTTTTCGATGACAAAATAAAATATTCAAGCATTTTGGAAACTTAAAAATGCTTAATTATAGTAAAATTAAATTTTCTCCTCTTTAAGGCTTAGCTTATTTTTGCATAACATGTGTACAACTTTCAATAGTTTTAAATTTCGAAAAGCCGTTATAAGTTTGAATTACAAAAAACACGTTATACGACTTTCAATGGAAAAATTCTAGTTTACAAACTAATGCTGTGCGATAGCACAGCTGATCGATGAAGACTTTCTACGGTTTAGTTCTAGTTTACAAACTTATGCTGATCGATGGATACTTTAAATAATGTTTTAAAACTTAAAAATAGAAAATAAAATGCTTTATAACAAAAACTTTTTGAAAAAACCACGTTTTTACCCGTTGACTAAAAAGTAGAAAAAAAAAATAACTTTTTTATTGGGTTCAAACGTGTTTGTTTTATAAAGTATTTATTAATATCAAACTACTACCAACAAATATTTCCGTTGTAAACAAAAAATAAACATGTTATGTAATAATCGGTTAAACTTTTCACATACAAAAATGTTTATGCATCTTGTGCCTCACTGGAAGCATCTTATGACTCCAAAAACAATACAGTTCTTGCGATTGCCATTATCTATCAGAAACAAAAAACCAGAAGTCTTAATATTGAGTTTGAGGTATATAGGTTGATTCCGTAAGCCTGAAGCAGAAAGTTAAACAAAACTGATTTTCCGAAAAACCAAAAACAATATATTCACAAAAATTGAAAATTTTGTGTGAATATGGTTTCTTTTCCTCAGCACCATGAGCAAAGAAAAAGTTATTCTTCAACTTTCAGAACCCTACAAATACCCTCTATTTCATGATGCATATGTCTACATACAAAATTTTATCTATAGTTTTTATCAACTTTATCTTTCTAGATATTTATTACTATTTCAATTAAAGTCATTTATTTTTTTTTTTAAGTTTTCATCATAACTTGGCTATAAATTAAGGGTCGATTACTTATTACGTTCGCTTTTCCATACAAATTTTGTAACAAGGGGGGAAACACTGAAAGTTAAAAAAAAGTTTGTTAAAAATCACTTTCTTGATGATAACTTAATTTAACTTTTTGTATAAGACAATTTATATGTGTCATAATATGTACTGTATATTTTTCATGAGCACTTGTGATATGAAATTACAAGATGATAAGTTTTAACTTATTTTATCATTTTTTTAACACTTCTATCTTCATTTCTTTGTTTCTCGTCTGTTTTTGTTAAAAAGCTCTCCTTGTTCATATTTATAATTTAGGGCTCTTGCAAGTTGAATAGTCTGTGTAATAGCTACGAAAACATTAACTGACAGCAATGTATAATTTTTCGGAATGATAACCATTGAAAATCGTGAATAAATATAACCAGTTACTCCTATAGCTGCGGCTTGTTCTGCTGATAAAAGTTCTGCTGGTCTTGTAAGATCCTTTATTCCAGCAATTACTAAGCCCCATTTACAAATCTGAAATAGTATTTTTATAAATTCTAAATATATGCTTATAAAATCAATGAACCTTTTATTACTTACTGGTGCCCACTGTTGATGTGAATATATCCATCATGTTTTATAATCCACATAAAAATTAAAACTAAATCAGATCAAATTGTCATTAAATTTATTTTTTTTTTCTTTTGAAGAAAAAATCTTATTCAACAGTGATTATTAAAATTTTCATCAGTTAATACCAGAGCTCGAAGTCGACTCGAGTTGACTCCATCTTCATTTTCTCGGAGTCAACTCGACTCATCAAATACATTAATACAGTAAAATTTTAAATAAATTCGCGACACTAAAACTCCATGCTTGGTATTGGTGACCTTCTTTGTGTTTTTAAGTGTGTTGAAAAACTTTTGATGACACACCTCGAGTAGTGTGTCGTAGAGCCTTTTGAGATGCACTGCATAAGAAGCTATTATTCGTAATATAAAACTTTATAATTTCTTACAAAAAATATTGTTTTGGGCCCCGCTTCATATTCCCAAAAAGGTTTCGCAAACTGAGGCACGCGTTTATCAACAATATTAATAATACTTCTGTAAACCCGTGAAAGTATCATATTGCTGCTTCTGTTAATTGCCTGATTATTAATGATTATTTAAAAATGTTAATCAGACGTGAAAAACGTTTCGTATTAATACACACGATTCTAATTGTAGACTAAATGAGCAAGGTAGTATGAAATATTATTAAAGCCTCTTATGAGATTACAGACTTATCAGTATACAAATTTTTTGATTGTTTATATTCATTAATAAAATGGTATGTTTATATGAATGCGTGAATTATAGACACACAGGCGAGAAAGTTATTCTAGACAGAATTAATTATCAATATAAAGGGACAGTAAATAACATTACGTATTATCTATAGTTGAAATTATAGAAGTGTTAGTGAATAGATTAATTCAGAGTCATGTTTTTATTTTTATAAAAGAAAAATAAACAGTTTGATAAACTATAGTAAGTATTATTATGATAAGCAATTTATAAGGCACTAAATGATCATTGTGATAAATTGTTATGATTTTTTTTTAAGGCAGAACTTTGACAAACTATAACTCAACAAGGAACGATCAAATCCAAAAACGATAACACGCAGTTGAAATGTTTTATGAAAAGTACCATCAATTTGATATATAACATGCGCAATAGAGTTTATTTATAGAAATAGGCCCGGTAGAAAACGTGAAGTACACCGGGTTTTTTGCTGAAAATTCAACCTTCGATATCTCGAAAAATAAAGAGTGTCGAAAACAACTATTTAGATGTCATAAAGTGTTGCAAAAGTGTCTTTAAACAAGCCAAGTTAAAGCTTGAAATTCGAACTTGGACCGCAGTACTTCACACAGGCGGTAAATTCCAAAAACTAATCGTAAAAAATATCAATTAAAATAAATGGACATAACTAGCCCGAATAGACAAAGAGCACGCTATGAGTGCGCTCAAATTTAGTGCTGAGCATGCTCGCGTGAGCGTGCTCTTTCATACGAAAAGTGATGCTACTACTTTACGCTAATGAGCACGCTTTTTAAGCATGCTCTGAGCACGTTTTTTTAACAAATTTTGAGCATGCTCAAATTGTTGTGTGACATGCAACATTTTTTATGTCATATGATGTGACATTTGAGTATACTCTGTGCTCGTGAGTGTACTCTGAGCATGCTCACTGAGTGTACTTACATTATTCAATAATTTTCAAAAATAAATTTTTAAATTATTTTTTTGATATATTTTGCTGTTGTAAGGTTTTTAAAGTTCTAGAATAAATTTTGTTCATTAATAATCTGAAAAAGACACTTAAGAACATTTTGGATTTTACCCTGGATTTGAACTCACGACCGCTCTGTTGCTAAGACCATTACCGTAACCATTACGCCACTGCTGCAATTTATCTTTATAATTCTTTATGGCAATAACTCATATATAAACTATAGAAAAGTTAAATACTTCGAAATTGATCTCAAAATGTTTTTTTAACAATGGTTATAGTTAAAAAGTAGATAACTATATATAATTCTAGAAACTTTGACTTGTGAAGTATATAAAAAATCATGAGCATACTCAATATATGTGCTCTTGAGCATGCTCAATAAAATGAAAAATTTAAAAAAATTGATTTTTTGTGAGCATATCCACAATGTGCTCACAGCATGTTCAACTGAGTGTGCTTAGGTGAGCACGTTAAATGATGATTTTGAGCATGCTCATTAACGTGCTCAAAAAAGTGAGCACGCTCTTTGTCTATTCGGGTAGGGTTTGAGTAAAAAAAATACATTTTCTAAACTCATAACTCGGTGTGACTTCCTTTGTCTGCATCCTTAAAATTAACATTAATTAAAAAACTACTAAAGAACGAAAATAATTATTATTATTATAAATTCAGTATAAAGATCTATTATGATGTGAATATTTCGTTAAGAAAAAAAAATGGAAGGACAATTTTTGTCAAGTATTTAAAAAAACCAATGCAATATTGAATGCAAAACTTTGTTTGCCTTTTTATAAATACAAGCTGAATTCGATATACTTGTCCAATGTTGTATGAGCACCAGACTTCAATGTTTAACGAATGTTTTTTTTAAAAGTTTTTATGAATTTTGTTGCTGAATGGTTTGTAAATGTTTAGATCTGTAGTGACTGCGGTACTGTACGAACGTGTTTTTCGTTTTGTTTCCAATATTTGTTGAGCAACTCAGAGAAAAAAAAATAATAAAAGAAAAGAGAATTTTTATATATTTTTTATTTGTTATTGTGTCGTTTTTGTCTTATAATATTCCCGTGAAACGCATATCTAGTAAAATTCAGTAGTTTTTAACTAAATAAAGAAGAATTATGGTAAAATAAACGTGTGTCTTGGTGTTTCTCAAATGAGAGAGGATTAAAATTTATGAATATGTCGGGGGAGTTTTGGAACAGGAAATACAAATATTTACCTTTGTGAAAAGATATCTAAAGACGAATGTGGATAAAAAGTAAAAAAAAAACACTTCACAGCAATAGCAAAAGTGCAAATTGGATTAAACCACAAAATTTTGTCGAGAAAAGTAGTATCAGGAGATAATTAAATGGAAATTTATGGATCTTCAACTTCTGCGTTTTCTCATTTTCCCTGAGGAATTCAAGATTTAATGCATTTGAGAAAATTGTTCTATTACTTGGATAAAAAATGTGAGAATTAAAAAAAATGTTTTTTTTTTTCTGTTTGAGTCATCGCAATTTGCATTGAATATTAAAATACTTAAGTGAGAAGAATGAGAAAAAAAGAAGAAAAAATGTGTGAGATTTTTGACGTGAGCACAACCCAAACATACAGTATTTTCATTCAGTGCCAATGTTTATTTTGCTCTTATCAGTTTGTGTATTTATGGAAATTCCGTCCTTGGATGTAATGGCTTTTTTTTACAACAAAATGAAGCCTTTAAATAGCAATTTGTGAAAATTGATCAACAATTTATGAAATTTATACATCAATTTTCCAACAGATGGTTATTCTCGCATATATTAGCTATCGTTTTATATAAGCACAGTAATATTTTGCTGAACACATTTGTAATGTCTTTTTTTTCTTATAAATTTTATTTAATTCTACTCTTTTCGAGCATCTCAAATGTAATAATAAGATGATATGTGTGAGCTTTTATTTTTGTCTTTATTATAATGCCTAATCGCATTTATGAGAATATTGTTGATGACAATGAAAACAAGCAAACAGTGAATAAGACAATAATTACATGGAATTGACAAACGATATTGCGACAACTTGAAATGGCGCAGAAGAATAAGAATAGAATTAAATAAAATTTTGAATAAATATTTCACGTCTTTATTTACTCATTTAGTGACTCATAACAATAAAAAAGGGCACTGAATTAAAAATATTTATATTACAATTGAAATTTTCATAATAATTTTTTAATTATTAAATACTGAAAGTAATTTAATGAGAATATTCTTCGATTCTTCTTCTTTTTCCTTTTTATCATTTGAAAAATTTACACTAAACAATGTCATAGACAAATTAGGAAAAGGAAGTAGGAATCGAAAATTAATTGTTGTACGAATCTTTTTCTACCTCGCTTAATTCATTTACCGTTTTAAACATCAAAAGTGTCACTTCCTAGTATGATGAGTTAAAGATAAAATAATGGAAATGCAAAAAGGTTCTGTCATTTCATGACGGTTCTTTAAAGGAATAGAGTTTGAAAGGTTCCTTAATGTGTGAAGTAATGCAAGAAATTTCTTATCTCCGATGACTAGTTGAATCAAATCATCATTATAAAAACATTATTTGTCAAAAACAAAAAACCCGGCTTTAATCAAATATATTTTATTTTTTATTCTAAATTTAATAAGTTTTTTAACAGGATTGTATGTGACAAAAAAATAAGTATTTATTCTTTTTTAGATATTAGTTAAGACATGATTTACCTTACGAAAATAAAAGCAAGATGTACCAAATTCTTAATTAAAAAGAAACTTTACTATTTTTTAAAACAAAACAGCAAGCCTGACGCAAATGAATTTGTAATTTCCACAAAAGTCGTATTGTAATATTTTGAGTTTCTTATTGTGTTTCCTGGTTGCTGTTGCTCAAACTTTTTGGTACATTTTTGAAAGAGCACCAGGTGTTTTTTCATGTACAATTCCGTACCCATCATTCTTATTTTATTTTTACGCCTTCTCATTTGGTGTTCCATTGGAATTATTGTTTATTGCTAAAACAGAAATAATTCTATGCAGATTTCTCATATCTTCCTCGTTCCTTTTAAACACACATGTGTGTTCGCAAAAATTAAGTTCAGAAAAATAATAAATACGTTCTTTTAGCTTTTCCTTATATTTTACTCTCGTTGTAGATTTCATGGCTGTCACATTATTGATTAGTGATGATTCACTGACGGTCTATTTATTTTCCAATTTGGTACTGAACACGCATGCATAGACAATTACTTTATCATCATTTTCATACACCCACAATGGTAATGATTTTTCGTATCTCATCCCGCGTACATGGATTTTTTGCATTTACCAAAAAAGCTTTCATTGTAAACATTTACATGATTCCATAAGTACACTGTATATAAACGACAAAAACGACGTCGACAGTAATAAAGCTATGAGGAATTTATAGATGTAGGATTGCGTCATGTAATGAATATTTTCTTTTCTTACTTCTCTTGTTAACAACTCGGTTGTCATATTAAATATACTTGAATTCATACTGAACAAACCACAAAAGGCGGTTTAAAAATTTCATTTTCTCGAGGAACAAGCGAGTTCTCATAGATCGTGTTTGATTGACTTTTACCCACTTTTACTTTAATTTTCAATTATTAAAGGAGAACTTTTAATTTTTTCGCACAATATATATAAAGTTTTATCGTGCATAACCAAACGTATTTCCCAATTGTGGCAAAAAATCATAAGAACAATTTAAAAAATTATACATTTTTCTTCATTGATTCACTACGTGAAATCCATCCAAAACCCTCTCTTTTATATTCGTTCATATGTGCACACATTTCTTGATAAATTTTTTAGAATATACATAGCTTAAATGCGCAAAGCAATGAATGGTGGCTGTATGTGTTCCAAAGGCTGTTATCCGCTCGTAAATCTCTGACATTCAATATTGATGTCGATATTGAGAGAAATGGTTTTAAAATAAAATCTGTGTACTTTT